CTTGCTTATAGTTTCCTTTGTTGTGCAAAAGCTTTTAAGTTTCATTAGGTCCCATTTGTTTATTTTTGCTTTTGTTTCTAAAATTCTGGGATGTGGGTCATAGAGGATCCTGCTGTGATTTATGTCAGAGAGTGTTTTGCCTATGTTCTCCTCTAGGAGTTTTATAGTTTCTGGTCTTACATTTAGATCTTTAATCCATTTTGAGTTTATTTTTGTGTATGGTGTTAGAAAGTGTTCTAGTTTCATTCTTTTACAGGTGGTTGACCAGTTTTCCCAGCACCACTTGTTAAAGAGGTTGTCTTTTTTCCATTGTATATCCTTGCCTCCTTTGTCAAAGATAAGGTGACCATAGGTTCGTGGATTTATCTCTGGGCTTTCTATTCTGTTCCATTGATCTGTATTTCTGCCTTTGTGCCAGTACCATACTGTCTTGATGACTGTGGCTTTGTAGTATAGTCTGAAGTCAGGCAGATTGATTCCTCATCCTGGATAATCTTATAGGATACTGCTGTCCGGGGGACATGTTGATTAAAGTTCTAAGTTGATTCTGTTTGGAGAGAGATCGGGGAAGGCCATCTCCCTGTGTCACAGAGATTAGGGAGTAGTCTAATATAGCAAGCATCAGAAAGACAGAGATCATCTTTAAGGTGAGCGCCGGGGCAGCTTTTCGAAATTCCTGAAGTCCTCATCTGCCTTGCTTGTCAGGCCTCCTCCTCATGACCTTGTCATGGGTGGGATCTCGTGTGCTGGCTCCCGGCACCACTGGAATTCCATCACCTCCACTAGCTTTGTTCATAGTGATGCTTCCTCAGGCCCACTTGACTTTGCATTCCAGGATGTCTGGCTCTAGGTGAGTGATTTCACCATCATGATCTGGGTTGTGAAGATCTTTTTTGTATAGTTCTTCTGTGTATTCTTGCCACATCTTGTTAATATCTTCTGCTTCTGTTAGGTCCATACCATTTCTGTCATTTATTGTGCCCATCTTTGCATGAAGAGTTCCCTTGGTATCTCTGATTTTCTTGAAGAGATCTCTAGTCTCTCTCATTCAGTTGTTTTCTTCTATTTCTTCGCATTGATCACTGAGGAAGGCTTTCTTATCTCTCTTTGCTATTCTTTGGAACTCTGAATTCAAATGGGAATATCTTTCCTTTTCTCTGTTGCTTTTCAGTTCTCTTCTTTTCACAGCTATTAGTAAGGCTTCCTCAGACAACCATTTTGCCTTTCTTTTTCTTGTGGATGGTCTTGATCCCTGTCTCGTGTACAATGTCATGAACCTCTGTCCATAGTTCTTCAGGCACGCTGTCTATCAGACCTAATCCCTTGAATCTATTTGTCACTTCCACTGTACAATCATAAGGGATTTGGTTTAGGTCATACCTGGATAGTCCAGTAGTTTCCCCTACTTTCTTCAATTTAAGTCTGAATTTGGCAATAAGGAGTTCAGTTCATGATCTCAGCCACAGTCAGCTCCTGGTCTTGTTTTTGCTAACTGTATAGAGCTTCTCCATCTTTGGCTGCTAAGAACATAATCAATCTGATTTTGATATTGACCATCTGGTGATGACCATGTGCCGAGTCTGCTCTTGTGTTGTTGGAAGTGGGTGTTTGGTATGACAAGTGCGTTCTCTTGGCAGAACTCTGTTAGCCGTTGCCCTGCTTCATTTTGTATTCCAAGGCCAAATTTGCCTGTTACTCCAGCTGTCTCTTGACTTCCTACTTTTTCATTCCAGTCCCCTACAATGAAAGGGACATCTCTTTTGGGTGTTAGTTCTAGAAGGTCTTGTAGGTCTTCATAGAACTGTTCAACTTCAGTGTCTTCAGTATTACTGGTTGGGGCATAGACTTGGATTACTGTGATATCGAATGGTTTGCCTTGGAAACGAACAGAGATCATTCTATCATTTTTGAGATTGCACCCAAGTATTGCATTTTGGACTCTTTTGTTGACTATGAAGGCTACACCTAACTCTGTCCTTATATTAGCTGTTTCTCTCCATCCCAAACATTTGTCCTGCCAGTTTTTCTCTCATCTTCTGCTAAGAAAACTTTGTGGCTCCTACTATTAACAGAAAGAAAAAATCCCAGATAGAAAGGCTTCATGGTAGATTTTGAGGTCCTCCATGATCTAGCTCACTTGGCCCTTTCAGCTTTGACTCTCTTTATGTCTGTGTGTGTACCTTTTGCTTCATCAGACTTTCCTGGGCTTTCCTTGTGCTGTCTCCCAGCCTCGTTGCCTTAACCGTGCCTGTTCTTTACTGCCTGGCTGACCCACTGAGAGCCTCCATGACCCCTGGGTAGCTTCCAGACTGCGAGACCACTCACCTGGTTTGTTCTCCACCCTCTGCTTTAGCTTTCTGGGGTGAGTCTAAGTTGTGGAGAACATTTGTGCAGAAGACCCATCTTACCTATGAACAATTATGCCGTTTAAACAGCAGCCAGCATATGGGCCTCCCCATTGAGCTCAAGGCCCGGGACAAGCTGTGACCTTTCTCATCCCCTCTCTCCCAGGATCATGGCCCTAGGAGATGCTTTCCTTATGAAGCCTTTTAAAAACCTTTTCAAGCAGAGCTACTCCCTTCTTGGTGTCATGGCAGCAATTTTCTTGTACTTAGGACATTTTGTCTTATTTAATGGTTTTTTGCTGTACACATATTTCTTGCTATTAAATAGGAATGTTCTTCAGGAAAGGAATTGTTATGAATTTTTATACCCTTCTGATCATGAAGATGATCCGATAGTCCTCAGTATCCATTCTTATCTACTTCTATGTTTCCTAGATTACCTTATGCTAGAGTTTTAGATGTGAATTACATTTTATCAGTTAGGTGATTTTGCATGATATTTGGAAGATATTGTTACTTGGGCTATTTCTCTTGGCAAATAAGGTTATGGAGTCATGGATGTTGATAGGCAATTTTGGCAGCAATGCGAGGCCACTTCTGGATTCCAGCTTTCTCATTCCTTAACTGCAGCACTGGTGATATATTGAACCCAATAGTTCCAGAAGTTGCTTCCTATTTTTCAATGATTCAACCCATATAATTCTGGGCACTAAATCCCCTTTTGATTAAAATATCCAAAGAGGTTATTTTTCCATTCACTTACTGAATAAGGGTCTCATTAATTTCCCTTGCCTATTACTGCATAATAGATAGGAAAGGCCTTATAAATATTCAGTTGAATTTATTCTGAAGTCAGACTAATTTTCTCCATCTGCCTATCTATTCAACAAATGATGAGGGCCACTAAACTGCAGGCATTAAGTGCTAAGTAGTACAAGTTTGTGTAAGATACGGTCTTATTTCCAGTTTGGTAGGGGAGATAATTACTGTAGTGTAACAAATGATATCGCAGGAATGAGTAAAAATTCAGGGGAAGGAGTGCTTCAAGTATTCAGGGAGGCTGCCCGTAGATGTGATATTTTAGTTGGGACACAGAGGATGCTGAAGTTTTTGCCAGACTGAGAGAGGGGGGAAGGTATTCCAGGCTGTTGAATTGTATATTAAAAATATGAATTATTGAAAGTCTATGGTATACTAAGAAAAAGTATTAAATACTTCTTGGAGGGGTCTTTCATGAGATTAGGCTGGGCAGGTCATCTGGGTTAGATTGTGGAGGTCCTGTGTGCCATGCTGAGGAGTATGAACTTTATTCTCAGGTCACTGAAGAGAAGGGAGGTTAAGGTGGTGGAAGTGGAGAAGTGGGAAGAGATTTAAGCGGTGTGGTGGATGTAGAGTTGGCAAGACTTAATGATCACTTGCGGGCTTCCCTGGTGGCTCAGATGGTAAAGAATCTGCCTACAATGCAAGAGACCTGAGTCCAATCCCTGGGTCAGGAAGATCCCCTAGAGAAAGAAGTGGCAACTCACTCCAGTATTCTTGCCTGGAGAATCCCATGGACAGAGGAGCCTGGTGGGCTACAGTTCATGGGGTCGCAAAGAGTCAGACACGACTGAATAACTAAGCACACATACACACAATGATCACTTGAATATGGAGCTGAATGAGTGGAAGGGGTCAAATTTGACTCCACTGCAGGGGAAGGAGCCGAAAATGATATTTAGATAAATTCCTTTTGACTCCTTGTTATTTGTTTCATATTGATTCTTATTTATTTAAGTGCCTGGGAGCTCAAAGAACAAAGAGATCTTAGAAGTGGAGAAATGAGTTCTTATCCTTGGAAAATGCCTACAAGTGAAGATAGGATGGCCCTATAGTGAAGAAGGAAGAGTCACTGAGGCTGATGCTCACCAATCATTTATTGGGTATTTTAATACAGTCCCATAGACTTTCTCATGAAAGGTTTTCAGGCTCAAGGAGCTAGGGATCAACAGTGTTGGCTTGTTGGAATCTGCCAACAGATGACATGTTTTCTCTCTGTTTCGCGTGATCAGAAACTAAAAGGCATCAAACTGGAATCAATCCAATCAGCTCTCATGATGGGAGCTCAGTGGCCAGTCCTGATGAGGGGTAGAGATATGGGCATGGGGGTGTTGTGGACATCTAGCAGCCTCTCACTGTATTTCATTTTTGTGTAGGCTACAAGGCTTGCAATTCTTGATGGTTTAGCCACAAGAGCTCTTTCAGTCCTGGTATCCTCTCCTCAGGTTATAATGTATATCTTCAGAATGCCTTTCCTGTTTCTGAACTTTTGGGTGAAATTCCTACCCTTCAATGATCCAGTCATGTCCCACTTACACAGAGAACAAACCAGGAAATGATTTAAATCCCCAAATTAATCAAAATTGGGATCTGATTATTTCACCCAGTTTACCACTCAGATTTTACCCAACCAGAGCACCCTGGAATTGCTGATCAAAGAACTGAAATGCCCTAGAAGTGAATACTAGTTCCTACAAGCGTCCTTGTGGTTAGATAGAGTAGAGGAGAGAATTAAGATACACATTTTCAATCTTTTAAGCAAAAGTAAGGATGAACTTGATGTGTAGATTTCTTCCTTGGCTTCATGTAGCTTTAGCTCTTGGTGCAATGCACAGCCTAGTGCCAAACCCCTTTCTGCTCTTGTACGTAGTCATAGAGTGGATTGGGAGGAATAGTTGCCTTGATAGGGTGACTTCCACCCTGTTCTCTTCTTTGGAGCCTCCCAGCATTCTGGGTTGGATGGAAGGCCAGGTCACTGTGTCTTCCTTGGGAACTTGGACTCTGGCCATCTTCATTCATATGGAATTTTTCTCTGTTGGCACATCCTTGCTGGGTCCCATGGGATTGTTGATACTGGGACTCTTGATACCTTTCTTTACCCTTATGGGTTTGCCTATCCTGTTGTTGACAGTTTTGATCCTCTTCATGAGTCTGCCTGTCTTGTCTCTGATGGGTCTGCTCATCTTCATGGGTTTGCCTGTCTCGTCTCTGATGGGTCTGCTCATCTTCATGGGTCTGCCTGTCTCGTCTCTGACTGGTCTGCTGATCCTCATGAGTCTGCCTGTCTCGTCTCTGACGGGTCTGCTCATCTTCATGGGTCTGCCTGTCTCGTCTCTGACGGGTCTGCTCATCTTCATGGGTCTGCCTGTCTCGTCTCTGACGGGTCTGCTCATCTTCATGGGTCTGCCTGTCTCGTCTCTGACGGGTCTGCTCATCTTCATGGGTCTGCCTGTCTCGTCTCTGACGGGTCTGCTCATCTTCACGGGTCTGCCTGTCTCTTCTCTGACGGGTCTGCTCATCTTCACGGGTTTCCCTGTCTCGTCTCTGACGGGTCTGCTCATCTTCACGGGTTTCCCTGTCTCGTCTCTGACGAGTCTGCTCATCTTCATGAGTCTGCCTGTCTCGTCCCTGACGGGTCTGCTCATCTTCACGGGTTTCCCTGTCCCATGTCTCACATGGAGTTTCCTGACCCTCATGACTGTATCTGCTGCGGCTCTGGTGGTCCTGCTCTTCCTCTGCCTGGTGGCTCTGCTTCTCACCATGACTCTGCCTGGTCTGGTCCTGTCTGTGGCCCTGCTCACTACTGTGTGATTGCCAGCCTCTCCCTTTGTGACAGGGTAGCCTTTCTTGCTGAATTTGTGCTACTAGTTTGTGTTGGCTATCCTCTTCGGACTCCCATGCCTGGTGACTGTTCTGCTGCCCTTCCCTAGTCTGGAATCTCTGTCCCTGATTTCGGTTTACTTCCTGTCCTTGAGTCTGTTGACTTGGTCTTCCTGGCCTTCCTGATTGCTCAACACGTGAGTCTCTGCTTTTTCCCTCGCTCCCTTGGAAGCACCTATTTTGCCTAGTTTCACCAGTCTCTGACTGACCGTATTGGGAGTTCACACCTTGTCTGTCTGTCTGACTATATCCAGTGCTCAAGCCTTGTCTGTCTGTCTCATCATAGTGAGAACTCTGGCCTTGTCTGTATGTCTGACCATCGTGAGAACTCAGGCCTTGTCTATCTGTCTGATCATAGTGAGATCTTTGACCTTGTCTGTCTGTCTGACCATATTGAGAGCTCCAGCCTTGTCTGTCTGTCTGGCCATACTGAGAGCTCAGGCCTTGTCTGTCTGTCTGACCATCGTGAGAGCTCAGGCCTTGTCTGTCTGTCTGGCCATAGTGAGAGCTCCAGCCTTGTCTGTCTGTCTGGCCATAGTGAGAGCTCAGGCCTTGTCTATCTGTTTGACCATAGTGAGATCTTTGACCTTGTCTGTCTGTCTGACCATTGTGAGAGCTCAGGTCTTGTCTGTCTGTCTGACCATCGTGAGAGCTCAGGCCTTGTCTGTCTGTCTGACCATCGTGAGATCTTTGGCCTTGTCTGTCTGTCTGGCTATAGTGAGAGCTCAGGCCTTGTCTGTCTGTCTGACCATAGTGAGATCTTTGGCCTTGTCTGTCTGTCTGACCATTGTGAGAGCTCCAGCCTTGTCTGTCTGTCTGGCCATACTGAGAGCTCAGACCTTGTCTATCTGTCTGACCATCGTGAGAGCTCCAGCCTTGTCTGTCTGTCTGACCATCATGAGAGCTCAGGCCTTGTCTGTCTGTCTGACCATTGTGAGAGCTCAGGCCTTGTCTGTCTGTCTGGCCATAGTGAGAGCTCAGGCTTTGTCTATCTGTCTGACTATAGTGAGATCTTTGGCCTTGTCTGTCTGTCTGACCATATTGAGTCCTCAGGCCTTGTCTGTCTGTCTGGCCATAGTGAGAGCTCTGGCCTTGTCTGTCTGTCTGATCATAATGGTAACTCTGGCCTTGTCTGTCTGGCCTTGTCTGGCTATAGTGAGAGCTCAGACCTTGTCTGTCTGTCTGGCCATAGTGAGAATCCAATTCTTGCCTATTTCTCTGACCACAGCCTGATTCCTGACCCAGCCTTCCAGACTGTTCATTATAAGAGCCCGATTCCTGTTGGTTTGTGTGGCTATACTTAGGGTCCTCTCTAAGTCTTCCAGACTGGCCATAGCTTGACTGTTGTCCAAGCCTATCAGATTGGCCATAATGAGAATCTTGAAGTTGTTTCTCATACTGATTTAGGGCAAAGACATAGCCTTGTCTTTCAGGATTGCCACTGCCAGATTTATTACTCAGTCTTTGACCAGAGCTGGAGTCCTGATCCTGTCTCTCAATCTGACCATAATGAGAGTCCCTGTCTTGTCCCTCAGTCTGACCATAGTGAGAGTCCTTGTCTTCTCTCTCAGATTGATCTTGGTGGGTATCCTGGCTTTGCTTCTCAGACTGACTGTGGCAGGAATCCTGCCTTTCTCCCTCAAGCCTCTTCCTGTGTTGTCTGCCTGTATTTCTTGGAAACTTACTGTCTTGTGTTTCCTCCTGCTTCCTTTCTTGCTGAGAGGTTCTATCTCCACTTGATTCATTATCCAGCCTATGATAGCAGGCTTGGGCCAGCTGGAACACCATCAGGAGATATTCATGAAAATCAACATGCTCGTTTCTGTTTCTATCCAAGAGGCTCAAGATGGTTTCCACAGTCTCTGGGTCATTTGGTCTCTGTGTGAAGATAAAACAAGCAAAAAAATCAGATGTTCTCCTACGGATAGTGTCAATATCTGTGCCCCAGTCCATTTAGTCTTGCATAAACCTTCGATTGAGAAATCACTAAAGTGGTCTATGCTTGGTTCTAGTCTTTGATAAGCTGCTTCTCAGAATCTCATCCCTTGCTGGACCAATGGGAGCATGACAATAGGGATAGATACACTTATTTAAAATCAGCTTCATTAATAATTATTTTGAATCATTTGAGGAAGGTGTCCCATTCCATCCCATGCTATGTTGTAATTGTTTGTTCATCTGTTTTTTCTAACCACACTGTGAGATCCTGGAGGGAGGGGAAGCTGGTTTTATTCATGTTTGTATCCCCAATGCCCAGAATAGTGCTGGTATGTAGTAGATGTTCAGTGACTCTTTACTGAACAAATGAATGATGTAATGTGTGGACAGCACTTAAACATAGAAATCAAGATACAAATCTTAGATTTTCTCCTGAGAAATGATTTCCATCCTGAAGCTGTACTCCCTCTTCTTTGAACTAAAATACAAGGAGGTATGTATCTGTGTGTGTGTGTGTGTGTATGTGCTGGAAGAAAACTACTAAGGAGCTGCCTGAAATTCTTTTAGTTACAGAGTAGATCATGAACAAATAAAACAAAAAGCATGACATTCTAAAGGCAGGTGTCAGTGTAATTCACACTTGTCTCCATGGGGCTCAGAGTCTGAGCATCTTACCCGGAGGATGTCTCCAAACTCAGCAAAGAGCAGCTGCTTCAACTCCTCCTTGCATAGTGAGGTGGAGTCCCCATTCTCTTTGGCATATTTCTGGAACACCTTGATCACGGTGAGTATGCTGTTCAGGAGTTCTGTCATTTTGGCAAAGATGAAGGAACCTAAAAGAAGAAACATTATGTTGTCTGTATTTATAATGAAGACCAGGAGACAGCATTTCCAGAGGAAAAGTGGCCCCTCTTGGTCAGGGAAAAAAGTTTAAGAAATGACAGAGCTCATTGTTAGCTATACTCTTCACTCTCTTTGACCCACAGTCAGACTCCAAATATCATGTGTACAATGGAATAAAGGTGAAAACTATGTGTCCCCTGCTATAAAAAGAGACGATGTCCTAGAATACAAAATATTATAGGGATTTTATATGCTTTGTCTTCTACTTCAGGTGGGACTTGCTTGACTGAAACGCTCATATTAGAACAAAAAGAAAGGGAGAGCAGGAAGGCCACAGAGGTAGGGCCAGAAGCCCGTATGATAAGGCACAATTTTCTACCAATGACCAACATGCTGAAGAGGGCACTCAATAGATCCTCTGAAAAGGCCTCAGTCTTCTAATGAGCTTCACTTAGGTGGGTAAGAAGGCTAGAGGTCTCTTGCCATGTGCCAAGGAAGCTTTCTGAGAGACTAAATTCCAGCAAGTGCTTCTGGCCTGCATGGTCATGTTGGAATATTATAAATATATTGCAAGTAGAATAAGTGGATATAAAAACTGTTATAGATAAAAATAGCAAGCTAAATTAGCTGCATAGATGAGAAGAAATATGTACAGTCAGATAGGTTTACAGAGCTATGTTGGGAGGCTGGAGTCTTTTGGGATCTCCATCTCAATAATATTTCTTCTATGATGTAAAAATTCTAGTTACTGAGTTTGCAGGCCTCTAGACTGAAGTCCTAACTGCAAAGCACACTGGATTTCCAAAAGCATGCCAATGATGACTCTAAGGATGAGTGGCATATGATGAATTGCAGGGCACAAGCAGAGTCCCTCATGGCAATTCATTGCAGTGAGACTTGAATATTATTGTGGTCCCATGGTCTGGGGCCTTGGCTCTAATGAGCCCTAAACTCTTGGGTCTGGCCTAACTTGCACAAAAGGGAAATGCTCCGCTATGGGGGACTAATTTATCCACCAAGAGTTCTAGTCTTTCATTTTGGGATGCCTAGGACACAGAGAAACAATGGCATATGTATTTTACAGACTCCGAAGTACATCCCTCCCCCTACTGCCTTGAGCTATCATATTCTCAGATAGAGGCAAAAAAGGAAGTAGGAAGGTACCCAAGGCCACAGGGAGTAGTCTTTGACCTCCCCAGCCCAGCACATCACAGCCCCTACCAAGAGGCTCTTGGATTCTGCTGTTGCTTCCCCATACATGTCTTACCTGCTTAAGGAGGTATCAGCAGAAGATTCAGAAGCCAGAGAGGATACTGGACACCTGCAAACACATCCTATTTATAGTGGTTTTAATTGTCCTACTAGACCATCCCAGGAGACACCCATTCTGTGGCAGAACCTGAATCACTCTGGGCCCAGCCCAGCTTGACCCTCCCTCTGCAAACCGTTTGATTTATTTACTTCCCCCATTTACTCATGAACCTGTTGTCATTACAGTAGGTGACACTGTTCAAGTCCTGGCCCCATTTAATTAGGGGAGTGTGTGTGTATGCATACATGTAGCTGCTGCTGCTGCTGCTAAGTCGCTTTAGTCATGTCCGACTCTGTGCGACCCCATAGATGGCAGCCCACCAGGCTCCCCCATCCCTGGGATTCTTCAGGCAAGAACACTGGAGTGGGTTGCCATTTCCTTCTCCAATCATGCCTGCAGCAGGGGTCCCAAAAGACAGAGGCATGGGCCAAGTACATCCTTAGCATGTGTCACTTATCAAGACTAATGGAGGGCAACAGTCAAATCATACCAAAGAAGGATACTAATCAGGTCACAGCACAAAAATCTGTCAAAGCAGAGACTAGAGACTCTAGGTAGAGAGCCAGGACATAATTATTGGAAAAGATTTGTTTCAGGTTGTTTTGCTAATGTAGGGGTGTGTGTGTGTGTGTGTGTGTGCACGTGCGTGCACGCACGCGTGAATGCTCAGTCATGTCTGACTCTTTTCAACCGCATGGACTGTAGCCCGCCAGGCTCCTCTGTCCATGGCATTTCCAGGCAAGAACATAGGAGACAGTATTATCCTCTTTCTCCAGGGTATCACCTTTATCCAAGGATTGAACTCATGTCTCCTGCATTGGCAGGCAGATTCTTTACCACTGTGCCACCTGAGAAGCCCAGTGGAAGTGGATATGTGTATTTTAATCTATTGATCTATTTTTGATATTTTTTACGTTTCCATTTTTTAAAAATTATTTTTTAATTTTAGATTGTGCTGGGTCTTCATTGCTGTGCGTAGGCTTTCTCTAGTTGCTGTGAGTGGGGGCTTCTCTTTGTTATGGTGCCCTGGCTTCTCGTTGTGGTGCCTTCTCTTGTGGCACCATGGGCTCTGGGTGCTTGGGCTTCGGTAGTTGTGGTACATGGGCTTAGTTGCTCTGCAACATGTGGGATCTTCCTGGACCAGGGATCAAGCCTGTGTCCCATGCACCGGCAGTTGGCTTCTTAACCACTGGACCACCAGGGTAGTCCCTTTAAAAATTTTTTTCATTTAACAATTCTATAGGCTAGAGGGAGAATTATATATATGACCAACTTTGGTATGGAGGGGTGTGATGATAGTGGAGCTGCCACCACCAGAGACTTTTAAGTTCTTGCTAAAAAGTTAGAATTGAAGGACAGTGTGGAAGTTCATGATATCTGTGAATAGAACCATTTGTCAGAGACCTGAGTCTCTATTCTCCATCTCTGTACCTGTGACATGCCAGCAATATCGCAAAACAAGAGATTGTTAGTAAATGTTTTTGGAGTAAATGAACTGTTGAATTATGGAGGCATTTGAAAATCTTGTGTAAAGTGCCAAAAAAAAAATCTAGATTTACCTATCCTTTCTAATTTGTCTTACATCTAGATCCCTGGTTGGACTTTTTCCTAGGTATCTGTACATCAATCAGTTTTTAGTGATGACACTTGCTATTATTTACTGTGTTCTCAGGATTCTGAAAAGGAATCACAAAAGAACAGATATTTTGGTCCAGTTCTAATAAAGTAGCTTCACATACAGAAGGATTTTGAGCACAAGGAGCAGGACAGGAGAAGTGCTGAGTGTTAGAAACCCCAGGAGCATAGGGAATCATCATGGGCTGAGCTTAGGCTTCCCTTAGAAGGTGGGGGGGTTTATGTTGTTCCTTGAAGATTCAGGTGGGCATGAGAAAATGAGAAATCCTGGTGGGAGAAGGGAAAGACCAAAGATACAAAGGTGAGAATTCATAGGGTGTGTTTTGATTAGAGTGAGTTGGTGAGTCTGGCTAGAGCAGAGGGTATACAGAAGAGTAAAATTACAGAATTTTGGATCTGAAAGGAAATGTAGTCAGCTTCCTAATTTTACAGATGAGGAAACTGAGATCCAGCTAGACTGAGTGACTTTGCCAAGGGTCTCACAGGGCTTTGGCTAAAGCCAGGCCTGGAATCCTCATTCCCTTACCCAGCTCAACATGCTTTCTTACACATTCTCTGAGGCAGCTTTGGAGCCTGCTTTCAGGTTTATTTTGATGAGAAATGGGGAGCAGGGAACATTTTAGTCAAGAAAGTGACACGAGCAAAACATTGTTTGAGGGAAGACTGTGGTCAGTTAAGGTTGCCAGCTGTCTCCCTAGATACCCCCTCCGCCTCTGGCTTTAGTGGGGTTTCCCCAGGAAATGAGACTTGCAGTGCTAAAACTATGAGATTTCTGAGCAACCTGGGGGGAAGTGGTCACCTGAGACCAGGGGTCCCCAACTACTGGACTGCAGAGCAGTACTGGTCCATGGGCTGTTTGAAACTGGGCTGCACAACAGAAGATGAGCCATTGGCAAGTGAGTGAAGATTCATCTGCTGCTCCCCATCACTCACATTATTGCCTGAACCACCCCCAACCCACTCCCTGTCTGTGGAAAAATTTTCTTCCATGAAACTGGTCCCTGGTGCCAAAAACATTGGGCACCACTACTCTAGACTGTGCTGTCCAGGATGGATTGGAAAGAGGAACGTCCAAGAAGGGAGACCAGTTAGGAGTTTATGGTATGACCCATGTGGAAAGTGCTAAGGGCTTTGACCTGGATGCAGAGGTTCAAAATGATAGAGAGGTAGCAGATGATAGGAGAAGAGGGCAGAAGGAGGAGAAGAGGACATTAGAGAATGAGATGGCTGGATGGCATCATTGATGCACTGGACATGAACTTGGGCAAACTCCAGGAGATGGTGAGGGACAGAGAGGCCTGGCATGTTGCAGTCCATGGGGTCGCGAAGAGTCAGACATGACTGGGCGACTGAACAATGACAGCAACAACAGCAAATGATAGAAGGAAAGATGGGGTTTGGGGACGTTAGATAAGGGCAGGGGAGGTGGAGAACTCAGGGCATAGGGGATAGGGGATAGCTCCAAATCTTCAAGCCTGTGTAACTAGGAGAACTGGGGTACTAAAGAAATGTGACTTCTGAAGTGGGCCGAGCAGGGTGGAAGACTCCTTTCCTCCACTGACATTCCACAGGGTTTCTGCCTTGTGAAGTTCTGTCACCCTACCTCCAACCCGCACCCTCTGCTGTTGGAGTTCTTGCAGTGCTGGTCACAACTTTAATATTGAGCTCTGGGCCATGTAAATATTCTCCTTCTACTTTTGTGTCTCAACTTATGAGTTATGTCTCTTGTAATATGTCTATTAGAACTAAAAACCCAGAGAAGTTTTGGCGGCCCCAGAGATAAGTAAAGGGAGTGGAGGTGAAGTGAATAGGGGTTAAAGACAACAGGAACTGTGACAGAAAGGGGCAACGTTGAGGCTCCTTTCTGTTGGCGTCTTCCAGGGCTCCCTAGGAACTGTTTCTTCGGGTTAGATGAAGAGTTCTCTGCCTGATGTAGTCAAGAGAAAGATGATGTTCTTAACAGTAGGATCTGCTATGTGTGCATGCACTTAACACTTAGGAAGTTCATATAAGACAAGCAGAG